GCGCTAATTGCCAAACGACATTTCTCGGATGTGCGCAACAGTAAAAGTGACAATGACGAGGTAAAAGCAATTATTTTATGCATAAAATATCTTCAAATTTGAGTGAAATCCAAACTATTCATCTGCCTTTTCTCGTTTTTTTAAGAATTAAGTTGAAAAATAGACCAGATGGAGAGCAGTAAAGAGAGAGAGAGAGAGAGAGAGAGAGGAATATTTTAGTGGCCAATGCCATGTCATCTAACTCACTACACTTTCGGCGAAAGCATTCCTTTGCTCTCCTTTGTTTTTTTATTCAGCCTAGTAACTGACAAATTTCGAATACCTAAGATAGTAAGAAATACGTTTATTTGAGCCAAAGGATATTTTTGCCAAGAAATGCTTTTGTCTGAGTGAACATTTCCTCTTTATCAATAATCTACTTAAAAAGTTATCGAAATATATTAACTTAGCCTTAGTTTAGCTAAGAACAATAGTCATAGATTGCAACATCTCATATTATCCAGGTAATTGCATTTTTTTTTTCCTTTTTTGCATGTAAAATTTTCGTTTGCGTAAATATTGCTCACCTTTCCATTAATGAAATGACGTAAACGTCTGCTGCGCCAGTGATTCACTCCAATGAATCGAATGCTACGAATAAAAAAAAGTTAAGAATGCAAGTGCAAACCAATGCTTATTTACTTGCTTGCTATATTCTTCTATGTTAATACCTTTTCTTTTAAATGTCCGATCAATTCCGGAATCCGATATAAGTACAACTATGCTCTTATCTTTTACAGTTTACTTACAAATCAATCAAGGAATGTTTTCAATCTATGTGACATCATCATACTTGAATGAAGAAATATTTTTCATTAAAAAAATTTCATATTTTGAGGAGCCAAATGGTGCATCAATTCTTCTGTACATTATATGGAATTGTTATGAAGGAAATAGTTGTCATCGATGATTGTTGCATAATAATGGAAGAATGCAACAGTGAGAGTTAAGGAAGAAAATGAGGAAGCTACCAATTTGCTGGAAGTGCAGCAAAATTCAACAATTTTCTCCATCAACTTAACTGTTCGAAAGTTATTATTGAAATTGGAGCCCACAGAGTTTTCATGTATCGATGATAATTTTGAGGAGCCCTAAAATAAGAAAAATATTTGAAATATCCTACTTCACACATTCAGTTAAGATATCGCCATTCTTTATCAGTTTATCATTCGATACATACTGTTATTAGTGACTATAAAAAGCATTATGCATTAAACTTTTCAGAAAAATAGTAGCTAATGATATCACCGATAAACTGCTTCATTTAATTGTCATCTACTTGGTCAGTTAAGCTGCTAATTAATGTCACAGTAAACAATGGACAGTAGTTCTTGATAATTGTTTCTATTTTCATCTAATTTATTTATAGAAAGAAATGCCTAAAATTCGCTTTCATAGAGTAGAATTAATTAAAAAATTGGTTTACATACAAAAGAGAGAAAAATAAAATTTGTTTTTTTTTCCTTTGATTTATTTGCTTGTTATCTAAAGCCAACGCACTTTTCTGATTCCATGAATAATACCCGGTGGTTATAAGCAAAATACTCACTAACTGCTCTTCTTTTATAAACAGGTTCTCCATAGCATTCCAAAAATAAACGAAATAAATTTCAGAATCCACACCAGCAACATTCCAGACCACTCTTCCACAAAAATATATTTTAAAAGAGAAAAGGAAAAGGGAATGCTGAACGTTGTACAGATGAAAATTTCAATCTTTTTAAAGAAAATGCTTTCCCAATAAATGCAATGGTATTTTATTTATTGGCACTTTTCTTAAACTTCGGAGAAATGCAACAAAATTAACTAAAGACAACAAATGGAACGTTTTCCAATTTTTTTTAAATTTTAAATGTTTTATTTTCCATTGAGAAAAAATTTTAAATTTTAGTCTGATAGTTAGAATAATGCACACAAGAAAGTCAATTTGTTTTCCTGCGAATTTGTGGAGGCTTAGTTTTTTTAAAATTTTCGCTTCATTTAGTATATAAAGTTGTAATAACAAGAATTTGTAATTTATCTGATCGAAATTATTTTCCGAAAAATTTTTGCTGAAGTAAAAAATTAAAATGAGTGAAAGTATATGTTGCCTTAGGTTAAGTTTAATTTATTGCCCATATTACGAATACTATTTAGTTTGAAATTAGAATTTATGCTACTCTTCTTCGAGCGTACTTCAGTTTATACATAGCTAATTTCAAGGCAAAACAATTATTATTCACGATGTTAAAATATGCTGGAACATCTTATAAAGTTCTATAATTAAACAGAAAAAAATTTTTTAATGAAATGCAGCAATGTACCTGAAATGCAATGTAAACATACATAAGGAACACTTCCCTAATGTCCAAAAAGTTTAGTAAAACTTTTAAAATACTTGTGATGCAAGTATATTTTGCAATAGTTGTTTTCTTTGGTTCTTTTATTCGTGTATACAACATTATTTACGTTGCAAAATTCCATTTAACACTTACAACTTTTAATTATTTATTTTTTTTCCAACTTTTAATTCCGATCAAACACTATAAACAGAAATAATTTGTCATTTTTCCTCAAATCAATCGAGGAAAAAGTTAATTAATGTCTTGTTAACAAGCAAAAATATTGAATAAATATGTTACAAATCTGATCACGAAATTATATATCAATCGATGGCTGTTCAACAAATGTTAGATAAGTAAAATTGATCTATTATATTGATTCTCAGCAACGTATCTTAACTGATGCATGAGAAGGAAATCATGAAATTAAAAGAATGTGAAACAAAAATTTATACTTTTAGAAATGTTTAATGTTCAGTTTCATTTGACATAGACAAAGTACTATACTGATAAGATGAAAATGAATATAAAAAAGTAAACGTCCAAAGTAAGCGTAAGAGAGACGTGAAAATAATCATTTTCAATACGATATGAAGCAACGTTTTAGCATAACTCACTTCACTTCCTTTAGACAATTCAAGATTCCTAGCAATGGGTGGCGCTCGAGACAACAAACAAATCCGCTCGCGTTTTGCAGAATGATGTACCCACCTCTGTCATGCCTGCGTGATGTCTGTCTGGATCTCTTGGCGATCTGCCACACTTCACAAATTTTATTTTTTTTTAAATTATGCGAAATGATGGAAAAGGGACTTGTAACGGTTACATTTATGGCATTTCTGATTTGCACTGCATGCGTATGCATTAAATAATTGGTTAAAAAAGACGAATGATAGTCGATCGGGAAATAGCACTCAATTATCAATCAGCGTAATCGATATCAAAAAGAAAGCTGTAATACTAGACGTACTTATATGACTACATACTAACTTTACATTGTAAATTCATATCGTTTTCAATACTAATACAGTGTCATAGCTTTGCAACAAATAAGTAAGATTAATTGGTAGACTTAAGATTTAAGACTAATTAGTAAAGCTATTTCGAAAACAAGTAGTGTAAAAGCGATTTACTTTACATTCATAGGAGAATATGATGATTATCGTTGATGTTTTGGAGTACGTCAATATAATTACTGAATTAAAATTATCAGATATCGACAATGATATTGTAAAATGATGGATCTGAGTAGTTGCTACACTAACAATAATGTTAAGTGGGAATAATATACTGATAGGACAACTGCAATTTTCTTCTAAAATTCTTCAGAAAAATTTATTTAAAAATGGAAATGAAATAAGTAAATTCGTTTATGGTTGCTACTTGTTTGTTTGTTTATCGCTTATCTGTTTATTTATTGGTTCATTTACCCAACAAATATCGCCTCATCGTTTTACTTGATCACGTAGCTCCATTCTTTTTTTTTTTTTTGAAGAAAGGATTTTCTATTTCTGATATTTGAAAGTAATATCACATTAAAATCACCTAAAGTAGCTTTTTTAGTTAATTAAGCATATTTGTAGGTTTTCAATGAGTCAATACTTTACAGCAAACATTTAACGATATCTTCATGCTGTGTCGTTTGTATAAATTTCATAAAATTTTAAAATCGAATCAGTTTGTACCAATACTGTGAGGAATCAATTTTGCGATGCATTTAAAGATTCAGGTTTACAACACGAAATTACAACAATAAAAGTTTTGGAAAAAAAGTTTGATGAACACTTCTTTCTCTTAAATCTGTCCGTTAGAGAAAAAGGGGTCAAAGTTTGTAATACAAAAGAAAAAATTGATGGAAAATGAGATGATTTGAAAAAAATGGTTTGTAAAATTCCACAAAGTATCTATTTGTCAGATACGAGAAATGCGTGAGTAATCAGGAGTAAATCGATATTGTTCCAACGTATTTTATTCTTTATTTTTATTTCTTCTTTTCGTTTTGATTTCAATAAATGAAATCTTGTTAAATTGTATTATCAAATTACTTCAGGGATTTCAACCGAAATTTACGTAAAAAATTCTAATTTCAGTTCAGAGTAATGCCAATAGCAACCAGAACAGATGGGATAGTGAAGAACTAAATTCATTTAACTTCATCAAAGTATTTCACACTAAACCTTGAAATTTTCACTTGAGGATTGAACCAGTTCGATTTAAAATTTTCTCACTGGAAACATTTGTATCAGACATGGAAATGCCATCTGCCCGAAACTGTTACTATTTGAACTGGTTAAAAAATAGGCAAATGAATTCAACAATAGTATATAATGGATGATCGAATTTAATATTAATGTAATATCAAAGGAAAAAAATGAATGAATTTCACTTCTCTTTTTGACAAATATTAAAGAAAAGTCAAATGACCAAAGTCATACAAATAAAATTATATAAGAAATATGAAAGAGATGAAAAAAAAGAAAAGAATAATTGTTAGCTCCACGACTTATTATATCATAACAGTTTTGCTTATTGTTGGCCATTGTGTATATTTGAATAAAAATTGTATGGAAAATTGTGCAAACAAAGACATTGATAAACCAAAAGATTTTTCATTTCTTCCTTACAACAATTCTTTCATGAATGTTCTTTTCAACCGGAATTTCTTCTCTTTCAGTTATTGACTGCACCGGGTAAATCATTGAATAATATTCATATGGAATGATATATCGTATAAAATGTTTCAAAATAAAACAAAATTGATTTGATTGGCATTCATTCCATCCTTCTTGTATATTATTTTTTTCAGTGAAGAAAGCATTGATTTTCATTGTAAATTTTTAAAGGTATTTTAACGTACAGCGCCTTAAATTACTTAACCAACGAATGAATTAAAGCAAAAAGTTCAATGATTAGCTGATTGGCACTGTAAGTCTTTTTAGTAATATAAGGAGAAATGATCAGATGATCCGATGCATATTACTTCAGCCATTACCACTTGTATTCATGGAAAATACAGAATGCGTCTTTGTGTTGACACAGTGTCCCATGTGTATGTGTTTGATTATTTGCTTCTTTTCCATTGGAATAAGCTAACTGAAACGATTTGTGTTTGTTTACTCTATTGCTTATTGTCGAGATATAGTCGAATTACTTGTTAGCTTTGATGGTTTCTTGTTAACTTTGATTAAGTTAACATTTCTTTCTCAACAAGTTATCAGGCGAATATATGTTACGATCTCTTAGCACACACGATGAATATGTTGATAAGAATGAGAATCATATCAATGAAGATAAGACAAGGTGGTCGATGAAAGATTAAGAGGCGATGGTAGATGAAGTAAAGGATGCTACATTTATCATCGTCAGATAAGTAATAATAGCATTCTAAGCGTTCTCATGCGATCAAATCTCATCATCGAGAAATATAAAGAAGAAATGATCCTCAAAAGAAAAGTTTCAATCAATAAATGCTAAAATATGTATTAATTGCTGGAAAGAACTCATCTATATTTTGCCTTCCATACTGTAATTCATCTTTCGTTTAATAAATTCGAAATGACTTATTTTTCAGAAGAAACAAATGAAACAGATTTCCGTAAAAGAAAAAGGAACGGATTTATGTTGGATTTCAGGCAAGAAAAAGCACATTAAAAATGGTTCCTTCTTTCGTCTTAAATCACTTTTTCATCTAATTTCATTTCTATTAGCCATATTTTTCTGGCGAGGAAGTGGGAGGCGGATGAGAGGAAGATAAAACAACAAAAATTCTCAAAATCAATCATCTCCGTATACTTTGGATATTTTCTGTGCAAAATATTCCATTATGTTCTAAAACAGGTCATCTATTTTTGAATCTTTCGCAACAGAAAATCTAATTTTAATATTTCTGGAAAAACTTAAAAGAAAGAAGAGAGGCAGAGAGAGAGAGAGAGAGAGAGAGATGAAAGACACAAGGATATTTAGCAAGAATCTTAAGCACAAATAATTTGTGATTCTGACGAAAAAAAGGCTTCGATTATAAAAAAAATACTCCAAATATATATGCTATATTCTTACCAGTCTCATTTTTCAAAAATTTGCATATTGTTCAAAATATACAGAAAAGTTTTCTTCTTTTATTTTCGCACCTTTTAATCACTTCTTTTCTAATCCATTTGAAATAAACCAAAAAGCTTTTAGCTTTCGTTCATGTCAACTCTTTTCAAGAATTTTTTGAACTAAGAGTGAACGATACGAGCCCAGTTATCCCTCGCTGCTAATATATCTAGCAATCCAGACTCCAGTGTTCTTTTCATTTTTCCAAAAAAAAGAGAAAAAAACCAAAGATGGGCAATCGTGCAAACAACTAATACATTTATCAAGAAGTATACACTACTTGGAGGAAAGAAACATTGATCAAATCATTTGCGTTCACATTGTGTTTCGTCATTTTATTATGCTCCGATGTTTTGTAGACACATAAATTTTTATAGGTGCTTTTTCAATTTTGCATTCTTGAGTATTAATTAGACGACTTTTAAGAAATATTTGACAGACAATGGAATGTTTATGTCAAAAATGAAAAAGTTCCTTCATGAAACGAAATGAAATGAATGTCAAGAGAATGGAGAGAGACAGTAAATCCAGAATTTCTTTTTTCCTTTGTAATTTATATGTAAATAAAATGAAGTAATTTTTTGCTGGAAGTACACGGCTAGAAAATAAATTAAATATCAATAAATTAACTCATTACAACAGAAGCATTTACTGCCCCTCAACCGATCATAATATCAGCAAGTGCTGCTGCTGCTACTGCAGCTAATATTGCTATTTGCTATAGTACATGTGTGTCCCGTCTGTCTATCTATCTTTCCGGAAGTAATGCATTCTCGGACTGGACTGACTTTTCACATATTTGAGCTAATTTCCGGTTGTACTTTCAAAATGAAAGTCAGCAGGGAGGTGATGCTGTTCTTGAAAGAGTCTTGAGAGTTATTGTCACCAAATGGGAGAAAGGGAAAAGAGACAAATTGAGGAAGTGTGGTTGCTGGAGATGTGGACGATGGCACCAACCGGTACAGACTTATCATGATGACAGACAGGCGGAACAGCCATCCTTCCAGTACATTACTCATTGGCCAGACACTTGAAAAATCCTTTGGCGTCATGCCAATGGTTATTTCTTTTCTAACTAAAGCTGACAGCACAATGACAACGAGGGACCATTCAAAAGTTCATGAGGTTGGGATAGATCACAGTTTGGAGGAGAGAGATGATAACTCGGTGAGGAATGACACCAAGACATGATCATAGGGGAGCAAATTATCTCTATTTTAACAACTCTAATATCGACCAATGCTTAATAATTTTGGATTTTTCCCTTAATTTAGCAAATATTGCAAAATTTTTTATGAACTAAAAATTCATCTGTACAAGCTATATAGGAACAGAATGATTGATCAGTTTGGGATGATAATCATCGACAACTGGGCACACATGCTAGGGGTTGGTGTCGTCTGGCTCATTAAAAGGGAAGGATCAGTGGCGATGGGTGAATAGACCTTGATCTCTTGCCAGCTTCCTCCATTTTATGGCTCTGAAATTAGCCTATTAAGAATTATTTTATTTTTATATGTCTGTGAGTATGCGACTGTTGTGTGTGTCTATGTGCACGTGTTTGTTTTTGTCTGTCTGTACCATCCTATAATTTGTTTGTTTGTTTTGATTGTGTGGGATGTATGTCTGTGTGACACTATTTAAAGATTCATTGAGGACATTTTTGAAGGAGGTTCAGAGCAGAGAGCTGCAGAAATGTGCACATTCATAAATAGGTTCATCAAATTGTGCGCAACAATCCTTACATTCCTTCAGCTTATCTGGAAAGAGGTTCGTTATGATAGCTGAAAGCCTTAGGCTCATTTTTTGATGACAGCTAGTATGTCATGGCTTCTCTCATCGGTATTCCTTCACGTTCTCATCCATCACTGTTCTGATTTTGAAGAGAGACTGAGGAAAACAAATATAAATTAGCATTAATTGGTTGTAATTGGAAACTAAAATGCATTTCTATTTGTGAGCGATGTTTGCAAATGCTGCAAGCGGATTTTAAGCTAAATTGCTAGAAACATAAACAATGTAAACATTCATTCCTATACAACAATTTCTAATATTATCCAAAAAATATTATCCACCATTCATGTTTTTGTTTTTCTGAAGAAATCCAAAAAAATTATCCCTATTTTCTCGGTCTTATTTGTGATTTTCGTCGACTTTTAAGTGCGAACAAATTCTTGGTAGAAGATTAGCTGAAAGAAGATGGAAAATGTAACATTTTATAAGTGGATATCCATATTTGAAATGCCTTCTGGAAGAATTTTCCCCAGTTCGCATGACATATACCAATGATCCTTGCATAAATGCCTCACAAGTTAAGATGGGCTAGAATTTTGTTTTTTTGTGCTCAAAGATGAGAGAGTGTATTTAGAGGGCTCTTATTTCAGCTTATATTTAAATGCTTCATTGTTTTCATAACTTAAAATATTATGCTCATATGAGAAGATGATTTCAACAACGTTGAATCCTTCTCGATATGTGTGATAACTCAACAAGCCTTATTCAAAATAATACCTTTATAGAGTAATACTAAATCATTGTAATCGAAATGCCCAGTTCTTAGGTTATTGCACATAGGAACTATATCTGAAAAAAGTGTATAATTTCTAGATTATTTATTAAAAAAGCTCTCGTCGATACGTAAGCTCATGTAAAAGCTAATCAAGAGCAAATAGAGAGTTGAAGCGTGAAAAGTAAATTAATTAGAAAATTTGCGCATAGTTAGTGGATAATAGTAATACGTGGGTTGAGATCGAGTGTCAGATATTGCATCACCAAATTGTGAGCTTAATGAAAAAATTTAGCTAACAGTCCAAGTCGCAGAGATTTGAATAGGATTTAATGAAATCGCAATTCGCCTATTAAAGAATACACTTCATTTCTCCAAGTAAATAATACAGATACTGGTTAGAAGTAATCAAGACATCAATTTCCCGCGCTGAAATGAAGAAAATATTTTTTTTTTCTTTTCATTCAATACAATAACAAAAGTGCCAGGCACTGATCACAAGATTTTTAAAGTTGAAGAGACTCATCAAATGAATAGATTAATAAATAAACAATATCTCAGCAATTTTGTGATTGGGCAATTATCACTAATTATGACCATAGAGATTCGTTAAGACCCAAATCGCAACCATATTCGATTACTGATGTTTCGAATTCTTTTAATGCTTCACTCTGACACTTCCATATAATCTCAGGTTTCATGCAGTCGTAATATTGCCGGATGCCACGGCATTTCTTCTGTTATAATACTGACTTAATAGACATATCATATAGACAAATCAATACCTTCAAGTCATTTAAATTTCAAATCACCCTTAAAAAATTTATTATCTTGTAAATGATTACTAATAAGCACCTACTAGATCTTTTCCTGGTTCTGCTACACCAGTAATAAACATCTGGCATCTTTCATTATAAGTGGTAGCAACTTCCACAATACATTCATAATGTTCCATGAAACGTTTAATATTTTGAGATGTACAAATGTATCCGAAATGATCTCGGGCAAATCGAACCTATATTTCAATTTAAATCCATTCCTTTAATTATTTGTTCAAGTCAAGAATTTTACATTTTAAATCAGTTAAACGAGATTTGAAATTCAAAAGCTTATAACTATGCGAAAATTGACATTGTCAAAATATAGCTGAAATTAAAAATGCATTTGCATATCCATCTTAAAGCTCTAGCAATTCCTGTAAGTAGTTTTTAATGCAAGTAATGAAGTCATCGCCTAATTTGACTTATTTTTCAATTGTTACAAGGAATGGATGATATCAACAAACCATTTCATCGTTAAGGCAAATCGTGATCGATTCAAAGCCAGCACATAAAAACATATTTGCATAACCGTCACAAAGTTCTAGCAATTCTTGTCGAGTATACTTATACATAGGGAATGACACCTGTATGTTCAGTTATTATTAGCAGCTAACAATGAGTAAAATAATCCAACGGAATCAAATTAAAATGATTCACTATCAGTTTATGAATTTAATAATTTGAATATTTTACAAAAATGCGTTTAGACCCGAAAGAAATCATTGGTCTAGCACTCTACATTATAGGTTTATAGTGTTTGGATATCAAATTATAGCGGCAATATGTATAAATTAATAGTATCGATGACAGTAATTTCTTTTAACGTACATTTTTTAACATCGGTCTTTGCTGTCGCATTTTGTTCCATCTAAGCATCAACGGTTGCACACATAATCTTGTCCTAATTTGCATTTCTTTAGTGCATTTTGTGGATAACTGGTAGGAAAATAGTTCACCATCCAGAATCTTCACCGAATGTCTTTCTTGCGCTATTGAAGGATTTATCTTTTGCACTTCGGCTGATACACTTTGCTGTTTCTGATTTATATTCATTTTTTCCATTGTTCTTCTTTCTATATTTGCTAAAAGTGAGAATTCTTAAATTTTTAATTTCTGAAATGAATCGTAAAGATCAGACTTAACAGGTTGTTAGTAATTTATTGCATTTATAGACTATAATCATTTATTATTTTTTGTAGTCATTTGCAATTTTTACTTCAATCATTTATTGCATTTATAGATTATAATCATTTATTGCAATTTTATTTCTACTAAGCGTTCAGAATTTTATGAGAAAATTAAATTTTTAATTAAATTTTGGGAAAATTATTGAAATTGTTGACAAAACTGTTCTGCTAACATTTATAATGGTTTAAACTAGCAGTGCAACCGAAATTTGTAATTATATCAGCAAAGAAGAATTGTGTCTCCTGGGTACATTTCCGTTGTACAGCACCCAGTAAGCAATCAAAAAAGTGCGACATTTGATCACAATGAATTATCCCAGTGCTATTATATCGTATGATAGCGGTACATTCCTGTAATGCATGCCAGTCGTTATGATATGAAGCTGATAGTGGTCACTGTGGGTTACCAATCATTGTGATATGAACCTGAGAGTGGTCACTGTGGGTTACCAATCATTGTGATATGAACCTGAGAGTGGTCACATACTTCTTTCTAATTCTTTCATTAAAATTTAAAGTGAAAAGTAATATATGCGATGTAAAAGTAAAAATTAAGAAAAAAAATTAGTAAAATAATAATAATAATGCATGAAAATTAAACCTACAAATTACTATCCTTTCCAATTTTATTTTTTTCATTTTATAAAAAAATTTATTTTTATATTTAGTTTTATAGAACTATGAAATTGTAACTTGAAGTGACGCGAATCTCTGAGTTAAAAAAAAAAAATTATAATTCGATGGTCGTTCTTAGATTTCATAAGTTCTAACTTTATTTCATGCATCATTTTGTAAAAAAAATCGTTGATTTTAAAAGCAGTGGTTTTCAGCACAAAAGTTAACTTCAAAATTATCATAACTTTGATAAGCAACCATAAATTAGTACCTTTTCCTCGATGATTACTTTCCTAAGACATGTGAAAGATTCGGACAGATTACCGGCGCCCGTTTTCGAGCAAATTATTCCAAAATGTTCATCCACGAATTCCATCAGCTAAAGTTTTCAGTGGATCAGTTCTAAATATGTGCTGGAATCAAAATTGATGATAATGTTAAAATTGCGGGCAGAATAATCTTCTCTTAAGAAAAGGTAAAGAAAATAAATTGGGAAGAGATTACAATACATTAACGTAGTTGGCAGTATATACTGTAGGATTTTTTATTTTCCATGTATATCAATAATGTTCACATAAAAATCAAGAAATCTTTTACTTATAGATTTCTAAAGTTAACTATTTTCAATGAACAATATGACTGAGAAAATAAATTCTTGGCGTTTTGAATTTAAATTGGTCCATTTTTTACATAAGAGATCAATGATATGAGATTTATATCAGTTCTATCTACTGTCGTAAGATTAAGATTGATTGCATAGTCTCATATGAAATTTAATTTCATTGTGAAACCTAACTGAAGAATGTATTTCAACTTATTCATCCCTTTATCCATGAAGTCTAAATTTATTAATTTTCTGCAAAAATATTTGCTTATAAAATTATTTGATCTTTTATTCCTTGACTAAAGAACATTTTGTAAATGAATTAAGATATTAATATAAAATATACGATATTATCCCGGCAGTTACTGATAAGACTAGTTGTAAAGCAACTATCGAAGATAACGTCCAGAAGATCACACAAGTCATTCAGTTCTTTTGAATCATAGGTTAAAAAGGGTAATAAAATATCATCAAAAGATCGATGCCGATTCTGTATCTTATTCCATAATCTGAAACTGACTTAATATTAGATTGGTAGTTATATCAACAGCATAGCTGGAATACTCTTTTTAACAAATCTCTCAAATGATTTTAGATATGTTTGAAATGAAAGTTCATTTATCAATAAGAGCAAAATTTGAATAACAGTTCTTAAACAAACTCGATCAAAGGCGCATAACACTGAGTGATCTGTTCCTCTTGCTTCGTTGTACACGTAAATGATTTGGCTGCAAATTAGCTTTTTCACAAAGAATATTTAATGAATGGTACTAAGGACTGTACCATCAGTATAAGTATTAATTTTGTTATATCATTTAAATTACTAACTATTCGAGTCCGGAATAATTGTGGGTATGTCATTCCAACTTCATGAGATAACTTTTTTTATTGTTAGAATAAATTATGTTCAAACCATCAAATTTTGACTTTCTTTATATTTCTCATAAAAAATCAACTACCAACTTTTAGAAATACTTATGATACTTTCATCATCGTCGAATGCTATTTCAATTGCTGGGTCTGACTGCAGAAATGTATTTTCTTCCACTAGAAAATTTAATGATTTGAAAAGGAGTTAAATATTTGGATTCAATTTAGATTTAGGGTTTTCTAATTAAAAATTAAGCTGAAATTCGAAGAAGGAAATTATATACAAGAAGCAAATACTTCTCATGTGACTATTAAGTTCTTCTTAATTCAGTTTTGCATAAAAACTCAAATAAGAATAAATCAATTTAATTTTGTAAAAAATAAAATACTTTAGCTTGGAAATAAGTTGCGTCAATTTTGAAATTCAAAATTTTTGCTCTAAACAAAATAAAATATTCTTCTCTATAAATATACATGTTTTTTGTTATTTGCTACTCATAGCAATATTAACACCTACAACCGTAGCGATGTCTCAAAAGCTTTAACCTCTTTTATAGTTCATTAATTCGGAATGGAAACTTTTCTGGTAAAATTAAACCTAAGCATATTCACTGTCACAAGTTGCAACGAAAACCTGAGCAGGTTCAAGAACTTTCTTCACACCAGATAGTAAATTTTGCATCATATAAAATACATATTATTTGTTCTGATCAGTCAAATATTCTGCTTCATAATCGATCAGATCGATTCCGAACGTCTTACCATAATCCAAGTCAGAATCGATTTTTCGATCAGATGCAAGGCGGTAATCAGAAGTTTGTTTCTTGCTAAGAAATGGACTTAATAAGTCATTAGAAGGATTTGTTTGATGGAATAATTCAACTCCACTGCTTTCATTTTGCATTCCATTTGTTGTAGATGAAGTGGAAGTGGAAAGGTGAAAGTTGTCAAAATTATTCCGCACTGTCATATATCTTTGAATCGAAGGCCTTGCTTTAAAATTTAATAAAATTCAAATAAAAACAAGAGTGATTTAAATCATATAAAATTGAAAAATCTAGCAATGCTTTTACTGTATTTCATCTAAAATGAAATACAGTAAAAGCTTTTCGTTTCAAGCCGTATCTGTTCAATAATCGATTTCTGACAAAATTTTGTTCTAATAACTCAAAAATTTGGCGCAAACTAAATTATAGCTGTTTAGATTTCTGTCAGATGCGCCCAATTTGTCTAGTCTTTGACGATTTAATTAAACATATATTCTTTTTTTAACATATGTTTACTATAGATCAAAAATTTGAAATACAGAACGAAGTTTAATAATGCTTTCATAAAATTAAAATTCGTAACTCGAATTTTCTAAGAAGTCAGTGGGTTTTATGTTCAATATAAACCGATAAAACAGAGTTATGGTGGGTGGAACATATTTTCCGGTAAGGAATTTTGTCAGTCATTTTCCAGAATTTTTTGCAAAACGGGGCATATACTTTTATATTACTGACCATTTCTTTCTTCATCAAGTATGGGAAGCGCAGACGGTAACTGGTTCCGTATATACGCTGCAAATTATAAGACAGTAATTAAATCGTGGATATCTCATCAACATTAAACAGTTTATATGAAGTTGAGAATCGCTCAAATTCTTTTATAGTTGTTTTATGGAAGCTCTGTAGAATGCTTTCAGCAAATTTTTAATTAAAACTTGTGAAACCTTAAGTTGTAATTTACCTTAATTGAATTTGTCAGTTTATAACTAATTACTTTTTCAAAATCAAAATCGTTATCTAGTACACTCCTGCTGCTACCTGAATAATACTCAATTGATACTAGTCCTAATTCATATATATATATATAAATGTTTCATTATGCCTGTATGAGTAAATACATACATATAATATCAATGAAAAGAGCTTCCAAAAATTTTGAAATTTGTTAAAATGGCAATCTTGTTTTTTACTTCGTTTTTACCAAACGAAACTAAAAAAAAAAAATGATTCTTTTCATCATCCAAAGGATAAAGCATACTTTTTCCAGCTTCTTCAGTAAGTTCACCAGTATCATTCATTTTTGCAATATATGTTACTGATTGTTGTACCAACTCTATAAATGTCACTTATTTTCTACTTTAACAATAATTTCTTAATGAGTGCTAATTTGCAGTACAAAAAAGAAGCAAAAAAATAATGGGTCAGTATTTATGCCAATATGAATTCATTAATACTTAAAAAAGGAAAAAAGCTAACCCTTTTGAAGAGCACATCCAAATGAAGTAATTGCATCGACAAGAATATGAACACCGGGTTTTTCGCATTTCGATCGCACACCAGGCAATATACAATTAAAAAACGTGGGTATGCTAATACATTTACCTCCTCTATAGGTGGGCGATGAGATATCCTCAATATGTCGCCAACAATGTTGATTGGACATTAACGCACTAAAATTCATATGCACGACTAAAAATATATTTTAAGTTCAATTTAAATTAGTTAATAACTACTCGATATTAAAGTAGTGCAGTAATTAAGTTTAACAAGAAAAGCTGAAGTTTAATGAAAAAAAAATTAATTATCTTCTTTTTTGTAGATAAGTTTTGAGTTTCAGAAAAAATATCTGTGTTAATTAAGCAATTAGCACTTCTCATTTGTTTTAACCATTTAACTATAATGATGTAATTTTAGCAAAAAGATTTCTTATTGCATTTTACGAAATTTAAACAAATTCAAGAATGAAATGATTGGAAAATTTTCTTTTCATCGAAATTATTAATTATAAGAACCCTATTTCATCGAATTAACTATAAGTTAATTATAAGTTTTCATTAATTAATTATAAGACTTTTATTATAATTTTAGATAAAATTTAATTTATTGTGGATGAAACTCAGTTTGAGGTTTAAAAAAATACTCGTGGAGACAGCCAAAATTTTCGAATGCAAGTTTGGCTTTATTTCCACAATAATAGCGCATGTGGCTTTGTATGAAGATAATCATTTCGTTATGCTTGCATTTTTCAAGCACTTCAGATGTCATGCATGTTGATCGACTGTCAAGGTAAGCACTGCAGAGGAACAACACGGATTCTCGGGAATAGAATGGAATCTAAAGTACGATAATTAAGTAATTGAGTGTAACAAAATTAAACAAATTTTTAGGAAATTTACCATAATTTTTCAAAAAACGCAAGATGCTAAAAAACAAATTGCCAAATTGATAATTTCAAGTTGAATTTCTAAATTATAAATACTAATTACAGCGCATTCTTTACAAATTTAATGCATACATTTTAAAGTTTCTATGCAAAAAAAAGACCAAAACGAATTAAAATGATTGAATTAAAGTGAATTAAGTTAAACAATCTCAACAAAGTAAATGCTTCTGATCAATCAAATCGTAACTGAATTGAACTGAACTGCAACAACTTATATTTAGATTTGATCAAATAAGAGTGAAAGACTGAATGAATTGATTTTTAATTATTTAGAAAAGATTTAGTTGTTTAGAGAAATACATTTAAATTTGATTTAAGCAATTTATATCAGTAATCATTTGAAACGCAATCGTAAACATTTTTTGGAAAATAGTCGATTTGAAATTTCTGCGAAAATTTTCATTAATTAATGATCTTATTCTTTTTTATTAGATAACAATAAGAGGGATTTTAATTGTTTAGAAAAGTAAGGATAAGGCAAGAGTTTCACTTTTCAATGATAATTTCAATGGCTTTCAATTGTACTATGATAATATGGTCTCGGTCCATTTCCTTTTAACAAAGTTTGAAAATGTTGCGAAACTGAATAAAAACACATTAACAGTTTAATTGCACATTATTTGATTTAATCAATTCTAACTCAGTTCAACTCATCTAATTTAAATTAATTGAACTCCATATAGAGTTAATTCATCTTATTCTTTTTATTTCATTCATTTAAAATCATTGAGACAACACCGGATACATGAGATTGGACGCATGACCCTCTTGTACTCGTATCATCTCCCACAGATCGAGCCATGGTCGCAAGCATCGCCCAAGTTTGGTGTGATCTGATTCCAAGTTACACCGTGCTGATATATTGATTGCTGTAAATGAAAAAGCATTGAATATCATAATTTTTATTGAACAGTTCATTAATTAATAAGTTTGGGTATAAGTGCACAATATCTGAGCTAAAAAATCTTGATTAATTAGCATATTTCACTATTAGTAACACCGATAATAAGACGTAATAAGGCGGTAATCTTTAATCATTCTAGCCTCAGTGGTAGAAATCTCCACTGTCATTCCAATTTCTTTGTTACTATTAGTAAGGAAACAACTATATTTATCATCCGGAATTTCCTCCTTATTAAACTCAATTTTCTAAAGATTTCTCATTTCCAATAGTTTTACTCTCAAAGAGATCGATGACATTATTACGCTGCAGTACCTTTCATCAACAAGACTGTTGATGAAAATTCTAAGTTATGAAAACTTGCTCTCATGTGATCCAAATACTCAAAATTTTTTGTGTAATAAAAACGTTAATATGACAAACTAATACAGTAATTATTATCAAGTACATTTCATTCTTCCAAGAATCAAAAAAATGTCACAAAATGATTGACAGTACATAACTTTCAAAATAATTTGTTTCCTTCGAAGTTATTCATTTAAAGATTCATACGTGAAATGAAATAATAGTATTTGTACTTAATCTATATTTGTTCTATACTTTATTTATTGTTTTGATTTCATTTTGATCTATTTTATTTACTCATTTCTTATTATCGGAACAGTTTTACTCAAATACTCGGCAAACCTTTATTATTTTGAAATAAATTGCTGTCACCGCAACTATAGATAAATTGCGCTATGTATTGACTGCATATATTACCAGTTAATTCAAACATTTAAAGATTACTACCCATTCCTTCGTTAGAAAAACTTCTTAAAAAAAGTGTTTGCACCAACTGTGACAAAAGGTGGATTTTTCAAATAAAGAGTTAAAACAGAATTGAAAAATTTTTTTACAAAAAAATATATCCTAATTCTTCAACACGAAATTTGTAGCAGCTTTTTAAGCAAATATAAATGATGCATTTGTGTCATAAAAGCTGGAATAAAATAGTTACAAAATTTGAAAAAATGAAGACAGGGAGAACGATATTGACAAAGTTGGTGGTAGAGATGATACTGATCCTCATCAATGGCTACTGCTAAGAAAAAAAAATTGAAAAGTAGGACAGATATTACACAGCTCACCTCTCGACCACTTGTCACACAATTACATCGTCCTTCTTTTTTTCACCATTTAATTATTCTTAGGACGGTTAGAAATTGATTTCAAGGAATTTAGATAAATTCAGCTGGGAAGTTCAAACTTCATACTTTTAACTGTGAAAAAAAGAAATTATTAAAGTGAACTCAAAACTAAAAAGATCAAGCTTTCATTGCGGAAAATAAAAGTTACTATATTATTCACCCTTCATTTTTCCTAACTTTGTTAATTCAAGGAATTTTTTTTTTTTATTTTCAAATTTCAACTCTGAAGCACTAATTTACTCCTTTGCTTGAGAGCTCAACAACTCAACTTAGTAGATAGTAAATTTCATTCAGTCCATACGAATTATAAACAATATGATTATTCCATATTAATTATAGACAACATAAATATTCTCGATAGGTAAATATGAATTTTTGATCAGAATAATTCGCAGCATTCCTGAACAAATAAAAGAAGAAGTTGAAATATGACTTGAAAAAATTGAATTCTAAGTGACTGAATTTTATTTGACTAATTACAAAATTGAAATGAATAACTGTGATATTCTTCTCAAGTAACGATCATTGAAGTAGAAAATAAATTGAAGAACTTACTTCGGCTGAAGACCCATCGAGTTATCAGTGTCATAATGAATACCAAAATTAACAATTTTCGCATCATTGAATTGAATATTGTCATAAAATATGTTGCAACAAATAACTTGTGACTTTTAGGTTTGCTAAAAATTAATTTGCAGATTCAATCCCTGGTAAGGGATCAATTCTAATTTTTGCAGATTTGCTGCTAAATCAAATTTCTAACAGCAATAAAAGAACGAATAAATAAAAGAAGCAATTTTAGACTCAAATCGAAAAGGTTGCGTTAAAACCAGAAAAGCTGAAGTTTTTCTTGATTTAACAATAAAATATGATTAAATAAATTAATATGATTGCTATCATAATCCGGAAGAAGATAAACTAAGTCGATTCTGTTCCGAATGTCGAAGAAGAAAAGACGGTATTACAACAACTCGTTCCTGATGAAATAATGATTTTTTAGCGAAGTGGAAATGATGTTATGTGCAGGAATACTGATGTGTGTTACAACTGCAACTGTGTTATTCGGTGCCGATCGCCGTCTCGTGATCGGGGTGACGATTATCCTGAATCTGTTGTACTTGTTTCGAAGAACATCAAATCTTGTTGTTTATCTAATTATTAACCACGCCCATTTAATATAGCAACACCATTCATGATCGTTGAAACTTCATTCTATCTGTTGAAATTAAATGATATAGCAGGAAGATAAGAAACTGTCCAATGATATCGATGAATCAATCAAGTATTCAATGGTGAAAGGTGAGATCAAAGGTGTTCACTTCCTCGTTCCAATAATTCTTTATCAGTACTGAAAATCATGAATTGTTAACATTTCATATCAAAGCTTTAGAATGTGACGTTTCAATCATCGCTTCAAATTGCCATTGTTTTCAAGTATGAGTACTCCTGATCAACAAAGGAATATCCCTATCCATTACACATATTTCCTTCTTTTTTGTCTTGATGAAATTTCATATCATTTAAATAGCTCAATTGCCAATTCAAGCATTGTGTTTTCGTAAATCAAATAATTGGTTTGAAAAAAAGAGCCTAACGATTAATAATGACAAATGTTGTCATATCAAGTAGATTGGATAGCAAATGTTTGATTTCATTCATAAACTACCAAAACGAAAAATACAAACCATTAAAGATAAAAATGTGATAATTTGAAAATTTATGCAATGCATAAAAATATGATATCAATTCTCTATTCTTTAATAAATGCAGAAAAAAATTGATAAAAGACCGGTTTGAAATACAAATATCAGTCAAATAGATCTTATATTAATATTGGCAATACAGTGTTAAAATAAACTGGATGAAGTTAGTAGGCGAATTATGAACATTTTTTGAGGACATATTTTATTGCAAGCACTAGAAATTACGACATCTCATACGTCCTTTAAGTGATCAAACGTCAGCGTAAATACTATCATCACTTCTGATTAAGAAGTTAACAGATTCATAGAATATGAAGATAGGAAAAAAAGAATTTGTTCATAAAACTTATTCATAAGTTAAAAAAAATAAAAGACATCACACCGCCGGTAATATTTGACCTCTCAGAAAAACTTCCGCCATCCAATTTTTTCTTATTCTCCAACTCATTCAAACTTAACAAAAACGAATTTTTTTTTTTGATTCAAAAAAACTGAACAAATTAAAAGATTTATTACTATATAATAAATGAAGTGGATATAGTCCTGTATAGCAACGCTATGGAGAAAATTGTTGCCATTGAATATTGTCGGTGTCACCCGTCACCTCATCATCGTACTTCTCCAAGACATTAAATATCGTCACTTTCTGAAGATTACAGTGGCAGTATGCAAAACGCAATCAATAAACTGACACCAGTCAGAATTATTAATAGTAAACATGTCAATGATAAACATATTGCCACTAAAATAACATTAAATAACTTCAGCTTGTTAATAATAGTTTGCCGTTTATGTAATACTAATTCATACCTGAGCAATAATTAAGGTATTAAGTGCCATAACCGTAAGCAAATAGACATGTTTCCTACATAACCGTAATGCATATTTATTTATTTATATCCGTTCTCATTGAGCCGCTTTTTATTTCTTTATTTTTCTTACCTGCTTTTTTTTTTTTTTGCATTGTTTGTTTAGCAATAAAATTTTCCTGTGTTCCTTACTACAACTGATTAGATATCACATTATAAGAAATAGATTGTCACTTTTTGCTTTTCATGACAGTCTAGTTTTTTAGTTTAATTCAGTGTTAGCTCAAGGAACAGATTGAACAAATTCATCTGGCAATCGGTATTCTCAGCTTCTTGAAGGGAATGTCTTCGTCGTCCTTGCATCTGCATAACTGCTGTAGTCAAAACCGGAATGCATACTACCTCAATCAATACTACAATAATTGAAATTATGCAAATTGGATTTTGAAAAAATTTTATTCATTAAAGTTTCGATGGTTTCCAATGTTCCTCATAGTTGTTAAATCTAAAACATTAATTTATTCAGCTGGGAATCTATTATTTCACGTAGGAGGAAATAATTTTTCTTTTTTTGTAAAAAATATGTTTTATGATGACTGTACCATAAGAAATATGTGAAACTGCCAAAACTAATAAATGAAAAAAAAAAAAAAAAGTGTCACAATAAAAACAAACGAAAGATTAATACCATTAAAACTGCCCTATCATTCGATGCATAATGGCAGTTGACTAGATTAAAAGTTCAGTATGGCTATTCAAATCTGAAAGAAATAAAATCATCAAAGTTTAGTGTTTACACTGATTACCTGTTTGATGTAATTGAATAATTCAAAATTTTTTACTAATAGAAAAATAAGTAAATAGACAATGGAACCTTTCTCAATCCATTCAGTCTCGGACAACCAATAAATCAGAACAACCAATACTGGCATACAAAAATTTGTTAAGAGCTTTCGAGCAGTTGCTTTTAACCTCATTCCATCCAGATTTATAGGATATTATTTGAGGATTCTTGATATCATTCCTCACCTTCTCTTAAAAAGAAAATAATTGCGCCAAAATTTTGCGGTTAAGAAAATTTTCAAAACTTTCAAAAAGAAAATTGTATAAGGTTTTGAAACAGTAGATGAGAAAGTGAATGAAAGGTTTAGATGTTGATAGTTCAATCAATTTCCATTCT